CTGAAGAGCAGGGGCGGACTGCCCTGCCTGGCCCTCCTGGTGGCCACCCAGCCCTGAGTTTCTTGTGGAAGCGCCGCAGGAGTGTGGTTTGGGCACGATGCCATTATCTGATGTACCTTTAGCCGAGCGATTCTGCCCTTATCTCGACAGCGGGCAGAATCCAAAGTGTGTTTGCCAACGACTGGCCAGAGAGGAATGCTGGGACAGCTACTGGCACAGAGAGGAGGCCCGGGAGGCCCGCTCTAGGAACCAGGACGAACGCTGGCCCTGGGGGCAGGCAGCAGCCGCAGCGCAGAGCCGCAAACCTGTGGGGCCCATGACTGGGAAGGCCGCCGAGCAGAGGGGGCTGCGGCAAGAGGCCGCTCCCCAGGATGCCGTGGTGAGTGAGACCCCTCAGTCCTGGAGGGGGGAGGAGTTGGACCTCTTCCCTCCATCTGCACCCAGGACAATGAGCAGAGTAAGGAGCTGACAGCGGGCATCAGAGGGTTGAGGTCCAGGATTCAGCACCTTTAGGGACCCGGAGGCCTCTGAGGTCACGTCCTGCCTGAAGGCTCATTCCTATAGGGAGAGGACATTCCCATGTGTGACCTGGGCTGATTTCGCTTTTTCCAAATGAGATTCCCACACAGGCACCCTGCCCGTGTCTCCTTTGTCAGTGTGGCTGTCATGCAGCCAGTTTCACTGACAGTGAAGTGATGGTTGAGACAGGATGATGGACAGATTTGGGGGGAACATCAACATTTCATGCTGTGAGGATGGGCCCCGTGGGTCATCAGAAGACCTGGGGGAGAGCTGGAAGGGATAGACAGCAGCTAGGTGGCCGAGCAGTGGAGGGACAAGGTGTCCTCCCTCATTTTACCTGAGAAATGGACAGAAATTGGGCAGTGGGCGGAACCTGAAGCAGGAGGCCAGGCTGGAAGGCAGAGGGCAGTAGATCCCCTCCTCCACCCCTGCTTCACCCTACCTTCTTGTCTCTGCTGTCATAGGAGGAGGAAGGGGAGAAAGGCTAGAATGGCTGAGGGATGATCCCGCAGGGAGAGAACAGGCCCCCTGGAGTGGCCAGGATTGCTAGGGCTGGAGTCCTAGGAGCACCCATTTCTAGTCAGTTCTGTAGCTGCAGCCAATGAGCACCTCTGCTTTCTGAATTTCCCTGGGGACTGACCCCTGCAGGGAAAGGACACCTATGGCTGAGTCTGAGTTGTGATGCTCATAGTCAGTGGTGGCTCAGGGGACACTCTGCCTGGAAGGTCTGACTATTTAGCCACCACAGCTTGGAGAGCCATGAACTCGCCAAACCCCACCTGCAGACACATGCACAGCCCTGCTGTCTGCTTCCTACTCTGCAGTCCTGTCTCCAGGTGCCTAGCGACATTCTGCCCCAACCCTATGAGGGGCTTGGAGCAAGAAGTTGGTATGGCGTAGCCTATATCTGGATATTTAAAAGTAATTAGGACCAGCAGTTGTAATGGCTATGTTGCTGGACTCCCATGTAGTCGACCACGGTTCAAGTCCTGGACCCTGTGGGTTAAACTCACGCCGGGCGCGTGTGTGTGCGTACCCAAGATCCCGAGAGGAGAATGGAGGAGAAGGGATTGCGGCGTGGCCATCCTCCCTGGGGGGTGATTTCTCGCTTTCTGTCTCTCTGTCTCTCTGTCTTTCTAGC